ATATATATATATATATATATATATTTGTATTTCGTTCTTGCATGTATTGAAACCAAAAGAAGGAAAGAAAAACTTATCATTGTTCCCGTTCTCCTCTATTTCACTTCTTCCGCACAAAGTATTAACACTTCTTCCGAACCACATGTTAAGGTTTTGGCAAAACAAAAATGTAATCAATATTTTATATTTTATACAAAAATATTATGTAAATTTTAATACAATTAAAAAAATGTCTTTCATGCATATAAGTAGGTTCCCCAACTGTTGAAGTTAAAGCAATTATCGTCCAACATGCACTTTTGTAGATAACAGAGTTTAATTTACAAAATAATTTTGTGTTATAATATAAATTATTTATTATAAATTAAAAATATTATTTGTATAATTAAAATATGAATTTATACAATTTTTAAATATAATTTAAATATTTAAGTATTATATTATTTATATATAATTTATTATAATTTTTTTTTATATATAATAAACATTTAATCATTAAAATACACATGCTAAAATTCTAGTATGATTAAGAAAAGTGATTTTTTTTATTATGTATATTTTTTATTGAACCATTTTATTGATTTAATTATATATAACTAGTTTTTTATACTACAATTGGTCTGAATCCTCAAATTTCAAATTTAAATCTTGAATTGATAGAAAAATAATATTAAAAAGTAATATTAATGTAATCAACATTTTAAAAAAATAATTTTTGACAAAATCAAATAATACTTTTAACAAAAAAATATAATTAGATCTTTTATTTTAACTTCTTTATTCTCTCATTTTTTTTCTTTCATTTATTTAAATAAAATATATAGTTATCACTAGTAATTTGAATTATTTATAACAACCAGAAGAAAAAAAAAAAGAAAAAAAAAGTTACTTTCTGTTCTTTTAATGACGTAATTATTGCTTGGAAATAAAGTTTTCAATCTCTCTCCGTTCATATCTCTGTTAGTGAAAGAATCTCTCTCTGTTTGGAAACCCTATTGCACTTTTTGCAATCGAACGAACTCGATAATGGCGAACAGCAACCTCCCTCGGAGAATCATCAAGGTCCGTACCCATTTTCTAGTTGTTACCCCAATATCATTTTCTGATCGATTTGTTTTATTTAGTTGCTGAGTAAACTAAAAACTCGAAATCTGTTCATGGATTTTCCGCTATCACATGTGAATCTCCAAATTGGCCTTTTGCTTGATTTCAGTTGCGACGAGAAGGGAAATAAAAATAAGTTTTTTTTGAAGCCTCTTTGGTGTTAAAAATTGGGGATTTGGCTACCCTTTTGCTTTTGATCTTCGTTGGAAATGAACTGCTGTTCTGGGTTTTTCTAATTTTTGTATATGAATTTTGATCTTTGTGAATTTTTTTAACACTTTTTTTATGTCAATAGGAAACACAGCGATTGCTCAGTGAGCCAGGTAACTTGTTATTCGAGCTTTCCCTTTGTTGATTTGTATGAGAAATTTGTTCTCAGTTGATTTTAGTGCTTTAGAAGCTTGCCATAAGTTGAATAGTACATGTCGATTTTTTTAGCTTTACTTAGTGTCTTGTAACTTGTAAGACACCTTGAGTATTTTTACCTAGGTGATTTAATGATCCAAATAATGATACAAGGGTTGTGATGTTTTATTCTTATGTTATTACTTGATTGTCTCAGTGATCTTATAATGATTTTTTGATGCAGCTCCGGGAATTAGTGCTTCCCCTTCTGAAGAAAACATGCGATATTTCAATGTGATGATCCTTGGGCCGACCCAATCACCTTATGAAGGTAGTATCGAGTTTGAGAGCATAATAATGCCACCTTCAAATACTTAAAATATTTTTTCTCTGTTTATACAATACTTAACAATTATGTGGAACAAAATTCCTTTTGATTTGGGTAATTTTAGGAATTAGGAAGTATATGAGAATTTATGTAAGCGAATAAATTCTACAGTCAAATTTATTCTGGGAATGAATTTTTGCCACGTAAATTGAGCGCTATTACATTTTAATTTTTTTTAGCTGTATGCTGATTATCTAACTATGTGTTTGAGTGAGCGTTTGCAAGGTTTATTTTGGATGGTTTTGTAAAATTGATTTGGTGAAATGGGCATGGAGTGAAATGATTTATGTCTGGATAGCTTTATCTGAAAAGTAATATAAAATGTAAATTTAATGTTGTTCCTCTAAAACTTCAAGTCCCAACCTTAAATGCGAGTAAATGTTGCTTCTCTTCAAACCCCTTCATGGCCAAACTAGATGAAAAGGCAGCCAAACAAGATTTGAAACATTAGAGCTGTGTTTGTTTTTATGTTTATACCTCTGTTCAACACCGGTCCATCCTTTTCCTTCAGTCACATTCTAATGTGTTGGAAAGTGTGAGAATGATTTTATGAGCACACACTAAATCATGTTCAAAACTCAGAAGTGGGTTTCGATTTCAAAAATACAAAACCAAAACAAACTGTTACTCCATTTGTGGGCCTTGTGGCCTACATGCCAAACCAACCAAGCTGTTTCTCTACCGGTGGTCCACTTGCCAAACCAAATGAACAGTTATTCTACTTGTGGTCTACTTTCCAAACCTAACAAACTATTACCCTGCTTATAGTTTACTTGCCAAAACCAAACAAACTATTACACTAGTTTTGAGCTACTTGCGAAACTCAACAAACTATTACTCTACTTGTGGCCTATTTTATAAAAGGTTGCTGGTAGTTTTCTGGATGTACCGTTTGTGACATGATATGGAGTATTAATTTATACCAGTTCTCTGATTGGTGTATTTTTGTCTTATTATCATGTGTTTAATCCCCAGTTTTACACTTGAGTCTGAGTGTCTGACTGTTTTCTATCAAGTTAAATGTCTGTTGCATTATTATTAACTTCCTTAACAGTGACCCAACATTTTTTTTTGACTGTTGACATTATTTTCCTTACAATCTAGATGATCAATTTCAATAGGGTTATTTTCTCAGGTGTAAAGAAACCTCTTTATAGTTCATCTATAGTGTAGGTTCACTTGCATTAGCTATTTGTAGGTTCACTTGCATTAGATTAAATAGCGAGGCCAAGTTTTTCTTATTTCCTAAAACATTTTTTGATGATCAAACTAGATTCAATGTTGTTCGTGCTTACTGCTTACAGTGTTATCAATGTTTACCTTTGGAAGTTGAAGATCATAATACTTGTTTAGGAAGAAACAAAATAAAATATGTAAATTTAATGTGAAAAAGATTTGATGGGTGAACTCTTTGTTTATCCTCTGTTCCTTATATATTCCATAGTTATCAATAGTGGAGCTATCATGCCAGAGCAACACTGGGCCGCTACAAGGAGATCATCACATCTCAGTTTAGTTGTGTGGCCCCCGAAGTTGTTTTCAGATCCGTGGAACTTGTTTATAGATCCCCAAAGTACCCGTACTAAGTGATAATTAGTGGGGGTATTCTGGGAATTTACACTATCAGATTTTTTTTGTTTCCGTGCTGTGTTTTCCTTTTGTGCTGTGTTTATTCTTTTTCCTTCCTCTTCTACATCTACTTCTATTTTCCTTTTTGTTCTCTGTTTCCCTCTTTCTCTATCGTTTTTTAACTGTTCACTATTAATTTTCTTTTTTCTTCTTTTCCTTACTACCCAGCAGCAGCCACTTGTATGTTTCATTTTGGCACGATGACCTTTTATTATTAACTATGAATAGTTTATGAATTTTGAGTTTTTTATATTTCTATTTTTGAGCATATATATATATATATACATATATTATGCATTTAATATATATAAAAAAAGTATTAGAATAGTGGTCGTCCTGATATCCACTATCCCATTTTTGGGGCTGGCTGCTCTGAGCTTCTATTTTGATTGATAACTTCAATATATTCTGGTTCCCAGTATGGAGTGTTGGGACTGGGTTTTGGTCATGCACTCATACCTGAAAGACATGGTTTTGGAATTATCAATCTAGATTATATTCTTTTGACTGCTTGTCTTTTTTAAGTAGTTGCTATATTATGAGGTAGCCTTTGGCCCAGTTTATTTTGAACTTCTCCTTAGGAGGAGAAGCTGGACCAAGTAGAATTTTAAGAAGATGAGCTTTGAAAAAAGCAGCTTTTTCAATGATTTTTTTTTTCATAAATGGAGCTTTTAAGAAAGCCAGTTTTGGAGCTGTTGGCTTATACTTTTTCTTTTCTTTCTTTATTTCAAATCCCAAGATCCAAAAACACTTTAGCTAATAAATTTTAACTTGAGTAATTCTAAGCTTAAAAGGCTATAGAAATACCAAACAACTTTAACTTTTAATTTAAAGTTCTTATTTTTAACTTCAACTTTAAAGTAGCAAGTTTTTCTTAGATCAGATGTTTGTTCATACTTTCTTGATTCTGGGTTTGGGAGTGCTGGAGTGGATGGTTATTTGTCTTATTTAATATTAATATCAATGATGGTGAAGATATTTGTCTTCTTTTAAAAATGTACTAGTCCTTTATTCTTGTTGTTACTAATCTACATGTTTATTGTTTGTATCACTAGGTGGAGTTTTCAAGTTAGAACTATTTTTGCCAGAAGAATATCCGATGGCTGCTCCAAAGGTACTTGTTTAATGTTACTTTCTCTAATGGCACCATAGTATTCTTTTGGTGTGAAGTTTCTTCCAAATTTTTGTACACCAAATGGAAATGAAACTAAAGTATAAAAGTGTTAGCTTTATAATTGCTTATAGTTTAAGATTTTTAGTAACTGTATATTTTTTAGTTTTTGGCATTTGAGATCTAATGTATAGGATCTCTGAGCAATTATTAGAACATGCTTCTGCTCTATTCTGTCTTTTTCTTCACACCTTCCCTTGAAACTGGCTCAATAAGAACTTGTATCTGATATGAATTAATATTATAACATCTTTTATATTTCCTTTAAATTCATAAGAGCTTTCCTATGTGGTCTGAGTTACAGTTGTAAGTTGCATGATTCCTTTAGGATATAGAACTAGGTACTAATTAGCACCCTGAGACCATAATTTATGAATTTATTTCGTAGTGTAGGAAAATAGTGTACCTACAGCTCTTCTGTATATCTTCTTGGGATTTGAATTGTCCACAGTTGCTCTCGGGTCTCATTTCTTCCTTTTTCAAAAATCTTGTATTATGCGTCTCTATCTCAAAATCATGTGTATTGTTCAGTTTCCTCTTATTTATTCTATTGGCTATGATACCTTTTCAATGGTTTTAAATGTGCATTGCTTTTCACAGGTCAGGTTTCTAACAAAAATATATCATCCGAACATCGATAAGGTGCATTTTTGCTTCCCCTAAATTCTCATTTCTTTTTCAGGAGTTATTTTTCTCTTACAAGTTCTTTTTTAATTTAGCTTGGCAGGATATGCTTGGATATTCTTAAAGATAAGTGGAGTCCTGCCCTTCAGATACGCACTGTTCTACTAAGGTATATTGTTATCATTCAATTTCAGGCTACTAAATGTTAATATTTTCTTCGACCAGTTTATCATGAAGTGGGACAGGCCTAATAATAGTTGGTGTTACAACAGTCTTGTATTCATGTAGAATTTGCCTAAAACATGCCATTCATACATATATAGAAAAATACATATATGCATACTAAGTTGAGTCTGGAAAAGACACTTTTAAAATATATTAAGGACAACATTTAGATATAGTTTCTTATGTGTGGTTAGTGTTGTTCTTCAATCAGAATTGGAGTTTTACCTCGATATTATGCACTTGCATTTAATGTAAATCTCATTAATATACTACTACCAAAGTAAAACCCTAACTCTAATTGAAGAACAACATTAACCGTACTTGAGGAATTGTATTTAAGTTTTGTCCATATATTAATCACTGTGCTGGTATGGAAGAATGATTTTTCTTTTTTGTTGGTATAACTTTTTGAGAAAATAGAATCTTTGTGCCCTTGAGACTTTTGACTTATTTTGGGTCTTCAAGAGAACATTTTCTATTTTCATTTTATCTTGTTTTTAAAAAAATTATGTAAGAAACAGTAAAATCAGCCTTTTATTTTCATTTTTTTCCTTTATAAACTTCAGGAAACTAAGTGAATTAAAGAATAAAAACGGAATGTTTTCTGAAACCAAAGGACCCTTTAGTTTTAATCATGGGGTGCTTGCCTCTTAACGTGGCCTACAAGAATGCCGCACAATGAGGGGAATGTTGTGGGGCAAGTCAATGTAAACTATTTTATAAACATGCTATCAGTAGTAAGGTGTATTACCATTATGTACTAATAATGGGTTTGTTGGCATTTTGTAGCATTCAAGCTCTATTGAGTGCACCAAACCCAGATGATCCACTTTCTGAGAACATTGCCAAACATTGGAAATCTAATGAGGCCGAGGCTGTCGAGACAGGTGTGTTTTTCTGTGTGATTGTATATAAAAAATTAGTTGATAATGATGCCATCAAACATGCTACTTACATATTCTTTTTGTTAAATGTGGCATTGAACTCTGCAGCAAAGGAATGGACCCGATTGTATGCTAGTGGCGCCTGATGATTGGTTTCAAACTTATGGCTCCAAATAACAATTGTAATCATCATTTTATATTGAAAATTTGGAGAAATTCATGTATCAACTATGGGAGTTAATATTCCTCGTAGCTTCCAGTTACCTGTTAATTTCTTCCCTTGGAAGCTGCGTTATCTTGAAACTTGTATGAATGTGATCATTTATCTGTCAAACAATTTGGAACGTGCTTCAATCATCAAACTTGTATGAATGTGATCATTTATCTGTCAAACAATTTGGAACGTGCTTCAATCATCGTCTGTGAAGTAATTTGTTATTCACAAACATCAAAGGCCTAAATTTGTGAATTAGTTTCTGTTCTTTGTGAAAAATAAAGCATTTTTTTTTGCAAGTTAAAAATTAATTTATCTATAAATTAATTTAAAGAAGATTTTGTTAGTTTTTCTAAAAGTTGATTTAACTTGCGGCACACAAATACCAAGTGTAACATTTAATAGATAAGTGATTAGGAATTTGATTTCCGATCTGTGTATAGAAAATCGTTTGTTGCAGAAAAACATTTGTTAGATGTTAACTTTTTAATTAGATCTTAACACCAAAGGGGGTATTTTTTAACTTTTAATTTGGATATGATTTGATATAAAAAAAATAATAATAAATTATGCACAAATTAGTTATAGTTTATGCTTTTTTATAAAGCATTAGAGTTCATGTCAATGAACCATTCCAAGACTTGTTTGGTCAGAGTAACTAATATCATTGGTTCTGAACGTGTAGTCATTTGTTGCTGGATATTCTCAATTATTTCAAAAACTTAGGTCCTTATAATTCCTTAAACCTCCCATTCAACCTTCTCAATCTAGCCTCTTCTGAAATACTCGTCCTCAGACTTGCAGTGGTGTACTGTGTATTTAGTTCAATTTATTTTAAAGAAATAATTCTTTTTAACAATCTTCCAAGAGCTTTAAAAAATAAGCATATAGTTTTTTTAGCCATTTTTATTTACAAGAGGCTAAGCATGTACTTGTACGGTTACCGTTATAAGTTATAAATATCTCCTTATCTCTTCAATTTTTATCAATGTGAACGTACAAAGCAACATGCAGGCTTTAGAAGACAATAATTGTTGTGGTCCACAAGAGTACATGTAAGAAAGTAGGGTAGAGAAGACAACAATCGTGCATATTCAATAGCTTTAAACAATTTTTGCAACCATTATAGAACAAATTCCACAGCAATTCAACAATTGAGGAGATTTGTTAAGGTATCTTTGTATTGAGGTTGTAATTGTGGTAGCAGTCATTCTAATGCACCTTCAACACCCAAGTAACAAAAGAATGAAAATGAACCTTGGAGGACATTAACCTATAAAACAAACATGAACCAAAGTCTTGTTTGAATATTTTTTTTATAAGATAAAATTGCTTTATACTACTAAATTTATTTAACTATTCTAAAAACTGTAGTTTATTATAGTTTGTAGGAGAAATTTATCTTAACAACGCTGAAGTATTTTTACATTTGTTTTTCCCAATGTGAGATGAAGGTGACTAACGGTTATATTAACGGTTAGTTATTTAAAGCTGTTGTTCACCCTGTAGTACTAGTATCAATTATCAAACACTTCCCCACTTGTTTCTTAAATGTTTGCAAGAGAAATGGGTAAAAAAGAGTACAATTTAGACGTATAAAGTAATGAATAGCAAAGTACGAAAACACAATGTTTAGATTGTATATTTTTAAAATTCAACTAAATTGAACTACCTTATTTTATAAAATGAATCGATTAGACTTTTTAAAAATATGGATCAAATTTTTTAAAATTAAATTAATTTATTATGATTATCTAGAATTGGTTTTTTTAAGAAATCGAACGGATTTACCTAGTAAAAATTGATTGAGTAATTGAACAAATTTTGTAAAAAGAATCGGTTGAGATTTTTTGTAAATGGATTAAATTTTTTTAATCTAAATCGGATGAATTATAGATCAATTTAGATTTTTGTACACCCTTAATAATATTAAAAAGTAGAAGTAAGCAATAACTTTATTGTTTGGGTTTAGGAGGTAAATAAATGAGAACTTGTACTCCCATGTATTTATTAATGGACCTCTTTGTTATCATTACTCCTTCCGTGGCTCAACTAAACAAAGTTCTTTCTTTAATTTCTAAACATGGCATTTTTAGGCAAAACTCCAACCACTTACGACAAATTAACATGATCAAACCCTTATCATCATATTGGAAGACGAGAATCACGTCATGCATGTAATAAGAGAAAGAAAGAAGCAACCAAGAATATGACCCTCTATGCATCACGTTCACAAAAGACAGGGCAACACATCACCCTATCTCTCAAAGCATGCAATCTTGTATCTAAATTGAGTCTTGACCACAAAGGTTATATTTTCATAACATTTTGTTATCAGTGAGCTCAATTACAGTAATTAAATAATCAATAAATATAAGAATTTTATTAAAAGAAAATAACAATAGATTTACATTTATAAAAAATAATGGGTTTTAGATGTATGAACGTTGGTAGTTGGTCCAACTGATACTACGATTACTTTTCAAGTCTCTAAGTCTTGAGTTTAAATTTTAGATTTAATAAAAAAAATAATGTTAAAAGAAATAATATTAATGTAAGTATGAAGAAGATTAATTTTAGACTTTAATAATAGCATGATAAAAAAAAATATATGTGTTTTAGAGGTTATATAAAATACTGTTGTAGAAATATAGCACATGTTGAGCTTGCGGTGAGGATCTGAATTTGACTCTCATATAAACACATTCTTGAAAGAGGTGAGAAAGATTGACTCAATAAAATATTTGAATAAATAACTTAGTTTATAAAATGTAAATAATAATGATGTAGTTACTATACTGAGATTGACCTGATGAAAACTTTGAATAATATACATAACGTTCCATGTTTTAACTTTTTTTTTTGTTGGTATTGTACAAATAATAAATGTACTAATATGTTCAATATATTATATAATCATAATTATGCAGTTATATTGATTAAGATTGACTCGATGAAAAATTTGAATAATTATGTAATGTTTTATGTTTTAACATTTTTTAATATTGTACAAAATAATAAATGTATTAATGTGTTCAATATATTATGTGTTAAACTTTTTTTCAGGTATCATACAAAAGGAAAACATGTTTTTATATAAAAAAAGAATTTGAAACTAAATATCAATTAACTTAATTCTTAAAATTATAAAATCGTGCAATATGATTCTTTATTCATATTTTTTTTAATTAGTTTGAGTTATAATTTCAAATTTTAAAACTATCCATTATTTAATAATTTTAAAAATCAATAAACATTTATAATTTCAAAAACCTAATTCACTTTAATATATTCATTCATTTCTTTTTTAATTAGTAGAATTGAACGTAGTATTAAGAGATTACAATAACTTATGCACATTATTTGACCAATTCATTTTATAAATAATTGGACTGGTCAACCTTTAAATAAAAATAATAGATTCTTAGTTTTTTGAATTAAAATACACGAGTTTATAAATAAATAAAAAAATATGCAAGTAATAATTATGCATTGATCACTGATATGTTTCAGTAAAATATTTGAATAACATGCATAACATTGTGTTTTAACTTTTTCTTTTCATTATTACACAAAATAATAAATGTAATAATGTGTTCAATATATTTGTTTTAATATTTTTGTCGTTATTATACAAAATAAAAAAAAATTAATATAAAAAATTGAAATTAAATATCAATTAATTTAATTTTAAAATTATAAAAAATCAAATATAATTCTTTATTGATGTTTTTAAATTTTGTTTGAAGAATTTATTTTTATAACTTAAAAATTAAAAATATCTCTTTAATAACCATAATTTATTCATTTACTTCAAAAACTTTTCACAGGCTCAAAGAATTATAGCTTGTGAAAATATATTGGGTCTTATCATGAAGTCCAAACACATATTTACAATAATTATTAAAAAATTATAAAAATACATGTAAGTTTTAGTAGAATTGAGCTCGAATTTCTTTAAGTTTTTTGGACCAAAAAAATGTAAGTAAAGTCCACTTTGGTTATTTGGATCAATTGTGAAATTAATTATCCTCTTTTGAGACTTAGTTATAATTAAGGTTTCTTGTCCTTCTCTAAGGATGTACTTTGCATGAATCAATCTCAACTCATCTTCTAGAACCTCACGACATATTGTTAACTAAGTCACAGCCATTGAGTTCTATATTGAAGTTTTATATTATTATTCACTATTTTGATTATTTTTATTCTCTTTCACCATAACCAACAATTGAGCAATGTTATTCACTCAATCAATTTCAATAAAATAATGAAAAAAATGTTAAAGTGTTGATAAAGTAATACTTTTCAACCAGGGTTGAAATTTCTATTACCATTTACTAATTAGTGAAACATGATAACTGAACCTTCGTTTTTTTTACTATAGTTCTAGTCATATGACTCAATTGAAAACATATTATAACTTAAATTCGAGTAATCAATAGTTTTGGTTGGTATTTAAATTTGGAAGTTATTATATTAGTATCTAAATTAAAAAAAAATAAAAGAATTAAGAGTATGAATTGATAATCACATATTTTCAAATTTTAAATAAATATATAATTAAAATAATTTTATTAATATATTCAAAGATGAAAATAATAGTAAATAATTAAATTAAAAAAATCATTTAATATCATTTACACAAAAGTGATTGTTTATAGGAATGACAAAATGGGTCGTAGTTCGCGGGCCAGCCTGTTGGCCTGCTAAAATTTGGCGGGTTGGACTCATCATTCCAACCTGCCTACTTGTCAAGTCCGCCAATCCATTGATAATTTTTTTTGTAGTTTTTTTTTTGCATTTTTTTTAATGTAATGTGGACTGGCTCGCCAGCCTGCTAGCCAGCCTGCTAGCCCGCATTTAGGCGAGACAAACTAACATTTACAGCCTATTTTTCAGCATGTTACTTAATGGCGGACTGACCTAACCCAATCTATTTTTGGCATGCCATTGGTGGACTAGAACAAAAAGGACCAAACTGCCCCGCTTTGCTACTCCTAATTATTTATTTTTGAAATTGATGCTAGGTAAGTTAAAAGCAGCAGTCACCTTGACATAAGTTAATTTTACACATCCTAACTTCCACCTACAATTTTTCTGTCATGGTATTTCTAAAAAGTAAGAGGAAAAAAAAAGACTAGCATGTTTATTGGTTAAGGGATGTTTTCACAAATTAAGGATAAGAAATGTTTACCCTTT